ACTGAGCCACCCAGGCGCCCCTTCAATGCTCTTTTCATAGCATAGAATCCACTCTATGCTATGAAGGGTACCTACATAACACATACATGGTATTTCAGGTTATGGGTGCACGCACACACGCACTCACACGTGCACACGCACACGTGCACACGTTCCCCTTCCTTAAAGAAGAGAAGCCATCACCCACTCCGTACAAGGTGTCTGACTCATTTCTAGAATGCCTGTTGCCCTTACATAAATTCAGCCTACAAATAAAATTTAACATGTTAAGCTTTTAACCAAAACTTCCTAGAATTATTTTCTGGTATTAGCATAAAGTGCTTGTTGGGTTTTTCCTCTATTATTTTAACCCCAACGGGCAGGTATCTCCCCTACAAGAAGATATCTCGAACCGAAGCTAATACGGATGAAAATGAAAACGAATAACCTTTATCAAATTATGGTGAGCTTTACCCTAAAAGCTGCCTAGCGTTTCTATAGAAACCTGCCTGCGGACTTTTTATTTTGGAAGTGTGAGTCCCCGGAGATGCAACGACATTTCTAATGCTGTTTGTGGGTTGTCTTTCTCCCCCCCACAGGCCTTGAACCGGGGCATTGCTGCTGTCAAGGAAGATGCGGTGGAAATGCTAGCCAGCTACGGGCTGGCGTACTCCCTAATGAAGTTCTTCACGGGTCCCATGAGTGACTTTAAAAATGTGGGCCTGGTGTTTGTGAACAGCAAGCGAGACAGGACCAAAGCTGTCCTCTGCATGGTGGTGGCTGGTGCCATTGCTGCTGTCTTCCACACCCTGATAGGTAAGGCTGCTGACCCTCGCGCAAGGCGCTCGCTTGGGGCGTTTCTTGTTCTTTTCCAGCCATTCGAATGCATCTATTGCAGTAAGTGACTTCTCCAGTAATTCTTAAAACATTTATCATGAAAATTTCAAGGGATGAAAGGAATGGGGTTTGTGCTCCTAGCGCAAGAAAGGAAAATGTGTTTTCCCTGGGAAGTCCTAGCTTTCGTTCTTCGACTCCCAAGCCCTGTGTCGGAGAGGAAGTGATTTCAGTAAGGTCAACCACTTGGCCCAGGCTTCCTAGAGACACGCATTACGACACAGACTCAATCTTAAAAATAAAAACAGAATGGTGGTTATTTAGGATTGATGCCTATCAGCAGTGAGAACAAATGGTTGTTTTATGTGTTAAATAAATGAAACAGGTGGTTTTATGTATTGAAATTAACTTATTTTAGGGGCTCACAAGGCTATTTTATTCAAAGATGAGACTAAATACCGTGGCATAACATTCTTTCCATGAAAAAATAAGGAAGCTATATCATACATACAGTGACCCGCAGAGAGTTGCACCAAGACCTTGGAAAAGGACTTGCTTTGGAGCCTCAGTCCTGCTTCTACTGCCTTCTGGGTGGCGATAAAACTCTAAGAGCCTGACTTCGGGGCTCCTTGGCTTTAAAACAGCTCAGCTTACCGGGCATAAAAATTGAGTGGCACATCTGTTGAGCCCAGTTGCATAAAACCCGTGAATAACACCTCATAAATCCATCGTGTACCTTCAAAACAGCACTGGCTGCATGAGCTCCATGAATGTCAGTGGTTAAATAAAGGAGTCAGAAAATTAACCCAAACCATTCAGGGTGTATTCAGATGGCAGCTAATGGTTACTCGCACGACCGTGAATCTAAAAGGAAATGGGGTGAGACCCTTTTAGTTTTCCTCTTGAATGTAGCGCAGACTTCTGTGCTGAGAACAGTGTGAAACCGTAAGAAGATGCTAGTCACGGGCCAGATTTTGAGCCAAAGTGTTGATATTGGTCGTTTAACTTGGGCTCAGAGCTTCAGGGCCTGGGGTTGAGAGGAGATGCTCTTCTTCCTTCAACTCATGCCCTGAATACTAACTTGTGCGTGTGCTTTGAAGAAACGTCTTAGGGGCGCCTGGGTGGCTCAGTTGGTTAAGCGACTGCCTTCGGCTCAGGTCATGATCCTGGAGTCCCGGGATCGAGTCCCACATCAGGCTCCCTGCTCAGCAGGGGGTCTGCTTCTCCCTCTGACCCTCCTCCCTCTCATGCTCTCTGTCTCTCATTCTCTCTCTGAAATAAATAAATAAAATCTTTAAAAAAAAATTAAAAAATGAAGAAACGTCCTACACCTGGATTTGATCTGGTATATGCCTTGGGGAAAATTCCGGACGTGAAATGAGTAGGTCTAGATAATTTGTGTCACAATGGGTAAATTAGTTCCCTTTTGCTACCAGTTTATTTGGATTTCTTAAATAAGCCTAACGTTCCCTATTTTAGTCATAGTTGCATAAGGCTTTGGGACTAATAGCTAATTACTAGGCGTCAGTAATCACGGAAGAGAAAAGCTGAGTGTCCTGTGTTACGGAAACCGGCATAAGAAACATGTGGTCATCAAGATAAAAAATCAGCATCGTTTTTCAAGTTAGATCTAAAATTTTCCTTTTTATAAGAGAATTATAAAATCTTACGTGTGAATCAAAACAGTTCTACGTCCCAGATCGATGTAGCAGTTGTTTTGAGTAGACTCTTGGAATTCTGTTGGACTGACAGACTTTCGAGTCTAGAAGATCCACCAACCCAAAAGTTCGTGTCTGCTCTGTGTGCACCAGAGCCTGGCTCTCGATATCGAAACTGCAGGAGCCTTGGGAGTATTTCCAGCTTTTAGTTCCTGGTCTTTGTTGGGCAGCCGCCAGTAAGTGTCTCATTTTAGCTAAACTGTGACAACACTACTTTTGTTATGGGCACATCTGTGAGACACCACTTGTTTAAATTGCAGGGCATGGGGTTTGCCGTGACCAAACCTTAATTTAGGCCAGTGGTCAGGATGTAGGTGTTCTCCTACTTTCCCCTCTTAATTAATCCATGGAAGAGAGGAAGACTTGCTGACCGTGTATTTGGTTAATTTGAGTCCAAGTTAATTTCACCTGCACGAAGTGAGTAGCGCCTGACCACCTAATTCACACAGATGGAGAAACCACAGCTGCGGCTGTTTGCTTTGTTCACACAGTTGATTCTCAGCAGGGACCTGTAAGGCCTCTCCCGTGTCCCAAAGCAGCCTGGGCAGTCGCTCGGGGGAGCGAGTCCCGAAGCTCCTCCAGTAACTTCTAGAGTGGGTCCATTCGTCAACCTTCCCATGTCGGCCAACTTTTCCATTATTCACGGATTGTAGACCCATCCTGAAAAGGGTAAAAGGGTACAACCTGACGTCATCGAAACCACCAAGGGTGCTGGACACGGACGGTTTCAGCATAGTCTCAAAATGTATCGCCACGTAACTGACCCCGCCCCCCATACTCAGTGACTGTGCTCAGCTGAGAGTCAGGAGGCGGCGCTTGGTGGGCTCGCTGGGGGGCCATCAGCCAACAGTGGGCTGGCCCAGATGGCCTCTCCTGGGACAGCTGGGCTCTCTTCCACCAGCCTAGCTTGTGTGGACAGCTGTGGCAATACCGTGGGTGAGAAGACAGAGGCCCACAAGGCCTTTTGAGGCCAAGAATTGGACGTGGCCACCATCTCTGCTACTGTGCACGACTGGCCAAGAAATCCCAGGCCAGCCCAGGTTCAAGGGGGTAGGGAAATAGACTCCAACTTCTCACCAGAGGAACTACGAAATCATATTGCGGAGTAGGGATAAAAGGAGGAGAGAAGAATTGGGGACCTCTTGCAATCAGTCTACCCCAATCACTTCTTCGGGGGATGATGGATTCATGCATTTTGTTCAATCAGTATATCTTGAACACCTACCGTGTGGCAAACGGTGGGCTAGATCCCGGGAATTCAGATATGAATAAGGCACGTTCTCTAGAGAAAAGCAAGACATCATGCAGTAAATTATTACAAATCCCACTCCGCTGAGACTCAACACCAGTGAGATCAAATTTACGTTCTTGTGTTAAAAATCTCACATTCACTGTGCTGACTTTATGCATGGGTTTATGATATATCTCCAAGGCCTGGGCAGCACTGTACTTCCCACACCCGTATCTTCCAGATAAATGTTGCACAGTGCAGTCTCTAGAGGGATGTCCTATGTCGGTGTCCCAGCCCCTGTGCCGGCAACCAGCCACTTCAGGTCAGCTGGAATGGGCCTGACGCATATGAGCCGTTCGACCATATGTGTGGAAGTGACTTAAATATCAGCCATACAAGCACACACGCTTGGAAATGATTCATTAGAAACACAGGGGTCAGGTTCCCTGCCTCTGTGAGAAGCCTAGTAAACAGAGAAGCATAATCAGTGGGACTTAGGAGACTTTTAACTCTGGGAACTTGGGAATTTGAATAAGAATAAGGGTTCTCAAATCGCCTCTTGGAAATGCACATATTATCCTGTTACTAGAATGGGAGGAGGGCTTTCTCCTCACTTCCCAGGGGAAAATAGGTGTATAGACTTGTCTTGATTAATATTAACGTTTTGTGGCTATTTTGCAACAAGCACTAGTAACTACTGGATGAACAAGCCTGAGAACCACTGATTCTGGAAAGAGTCCGTCACCCTGATGGGCCCAGGGCAGAAGAGCTAGGGATTTGAATGGCCCTTCTGGTTTCTTCTTGTTTGGGTGGGGTCAGAAGCTGTCTACCTATAAAAAGTTCAAGCCTGTGTCCTCCCTGCTGTGGCCACATCATGAAATCTGTTTACGTCTTGTTCAGAAGCCTTGTTTAATTTTTCTTTTTAATGTTCTGCTCTTCAGAAGGAATGTAAGCTGTCTCAGAACAATCGAGGTAGGGCAGTTTATAGAAATTGATGGTCCATAAATGTTAGGGCAGCCGGCCTGGTAATTATGGACTCTATGCAAAGCACTTTCAACAAATTACCCCCAGCCAACAGCTCCAGCCAGAAACAGCTCAAGGGCACAGGAGGGGAGGGGGGAGGGATTGGGTAAAAAACAGCTGCAGGCCCATCAGTCCCAAAGTCTCCTGGAACCTGGAGGGCAGAGGAGCTGAGGACCAGCTGCAGGCTGAAAAGAGCAAGGGGGTGGGAGGGGCAGAGTCAGAAAGCCTGGCCCACTGAGCTCACCACCCAGCCCTCCTTCAACGCATCTTCATCCCATCTTCATTATCCTGCAGAGAGGCACTATTTTTTATGTTTTCATTGAAATATTCTAATCAGTAGGTACATTGAGGTCTATCTACAGACGGTAGAGAAACTGATTTATATTGATCTCTAGCCCACCCACCCACCCTGGACCACACAAGCAAACTGCATGCCCTGCTCTCAACTGCTCCAACTCATGGGTCCCAGAGTCTCCTGGGAAAAGACTTCTCTCTTCCGTTCTCAGAAGCCGCCTGTGTGGCTTTGCTGGGGTTGTCCTAACAATGTATCCCAAACTGGGAGGCTAAGACCACAGAAATGTATTGTCTCCCAGTTCTGGAGGCTGGAGGATCAAGCAGTCAGTAGGGTTGCTTTCCCCCCAGGACTCTCCCCGAGCTTCTGTGGTTTGCTGGCAACCTAGAGCCTTCCTGGGTGTGCGGACACATCACCCCCATGTCTGCCTTCACATCCACGAGGCATTCTCCTTGTGTGTGTCCACCTGTGTGTCCAAACTTCCCCTTTTTAGAAGGACCCCAGTTATATTGGATTGGGAGCCCACACTGCTCCAGTGTGACCTCATCTTACCTAATGATATCTGCAATGACCCTGTCGCTGAATAAGGTCACCTTCTGCAGTCCCCGGGGACAGGACTCAACATGTGAATTCTGCGGGGACGCAGCTCATCCTGTCTCACAGCCCCTCTAGATCTCGGCCTTCCCCACCTTCCTGTCAAGTGCAGTCCATGGTGTTGTCTGTGGGCTCTAACCTTTACCCTGGAATTTCAGCCCATGAGCTATTCCTAGCCACCCGGCTCTCGCCCCTGGCATTGCGTCGCTCATCTCAGCCAGCTCGGCTGCCTTTACCTGCCCCCAGCCTCTGTCCGCCAGTGGGCGAGGATAGTCTTTGGGCTGGGGCTGGGGCGCCTCCTGGCAGGTTCCAGCGCAGTGACCGGTCCCCGACTGAATGAAATGAATGTACACATAACCAGCAGCAACAGTAACAAAACCTCCAGGTTCTAGCACCCCAAGTAAACCATTTATGCACTTAAGGAACACCTTCATCCGGGCCTTGTGTTTCCATCTGTCTGCATACCCCAGGTCTGAGTGCACTTCTCTCCTGGTGGGGAAAGCAGGCTGCAGGGCTCCCCCCCCGCCCCTCCCCTGAGCCTTCCAGGGGCAGGTCAAGCCTTCTCTAATCTGCTCGTCTCATCTAATCTGTGTGCCTTCAGATCCAAACATGGACATCATAGCTGCCTCCTTCCCTCCTTGTCCCACCTTCCCGGGTCTTTGCTCTTTCCGTCCTGGGACACCCTCCCTCCTGGATTTCTCTTCTTGCTGCCTCAGTGGCTCTGCTGGCCCCACCATGCTCCACCCCTGACATGTTTGCTCACCTGGCAGCTCACTTTTTGGTTTTCCCCTCGGCCCCTCCTTGGAGAGCCTCGACCTCTCCTCCTGCATTTGCCTCCCCCATCCCACCTGTTCTCAGGATGTCTTACCCATGCCAGCCCCCTGCCCCTTGAAATCACTTTACTTCCCCATCTGGGATCCCCATTTGTGCATCTAAATATCTATGATATCATCCCAAAGACCTGACTTAATTCAAAATTCCTATGATGCAAGACTAATCCGGAAAAAGAGTGGAGGCTTATTTCTTTACTATCACTTTCTTCTTCTTATCAGTTCATATGGTTCCAAGTCATCCTCCAAACTTTGAAGTGGAGCGAGGGATCTTATTATTCACATAAAATGAGACTCTTACTGCGTCCTGTCTCCTTTCCGATTTCAAAGCAACTTCTGTAGTTGTCCACTGCATTAATATTCATATTTATAGAAAAATGAAAAGAGCAGGAATAATGCTATTAAAGCACCATGTAAAACACTATGAAAAACACAAAGACTATTATTTCCTGGTCTAGTCTAAACATCTATCAATGAGGTAAAAATACCTGAATAGTTTACTTCATCTTTGCTCACAGTACCTGCTGGAATGCCCAGCTGATACACTAGAAAGACCTTCCTCTTTTTTCCTTTATATCTATTCGGCAGCTACAAATTCATTCAGCCTATATCAGTTCAGTGCCCATATGCTCCCCCCAAAAGATGAAACAAAAAGAATAGCAAGCCGTGAAAAGCTAGCTTTAACATTTTTTATCAAAAAGTCATATTAACAGGTGCGCCTGGATGGCGCAGTCGGTTAAGCCTCCGATTCTTGGTTTTGGCTCCGGTCATGATCTCAGGGCTATGAGACCGAGCACCGCATTGGGCTCCACGCTCAGCAGGGAGTCTGCTTGAGATTCTCTGCCCCTTCCCCCCTCCCTCTCTCAAAAAATAAAATAAAATAAAAGGCATATTAACATCTGGCAATTTTCTTAGTAAATAAGTAACACTCCATATAAACATTCAGCTTCCAAATGATCCATCAAGCATCCTTTCATGATATCAAACTAATGGATGCATCCTAAATGCATAATAATAGGAGACTGAGTAAGTTTATGCTGAGTAAACCTATAAAAAGGAATTCATTGCAACCATTAAAGTGTGGAAGCAAATCATGGAAAGATGTTCATGGTTTACAAAAGAATATGTATACAGTATGATCCCATTTTTGTGTTAAAACACACACGCATACCCCATGCACGTGCCCACCACACACCCATAAAAGAACTGGGCAGTTAGAACCCAGAGCATTAACTGTGACCCTCTCTGGGTAGGGGGTTGAGGTTGGAGATGATTTATTTTTCTATATGCTCATCTACTTTTTCTACACCAAAAAAAAAAAAAAAAATTTACATTTAACACTGTTTTTGCACCTTTGAGATGAAAAGCCTAAAAGATAACTTTTTCTAAATACTGCCATGTATGTTTCTTTGGCCCTTTGCAGCTTATAGTGACTTAGGCTACTACATTATCAATAAACTGCACCATGTGGATGAGTCTGTGGGGAGCAAAACGAGAAGGGCCTTCCTATATCTTGCTGCCTTCCCTTTTATGGATGCAATGGTGAGTAATTGTGGGCACTTTAAAAAAAATTATGGTGTACATAACATAAAATTTACCATTTTAGCCATTTTTATGGATACAGTTCAATGGCATAAAGTACCTTCACATGGCTGTGAATCTTCAGAACCCTTGTCTTATGAAACTGACTCTGTCCCCCTGAGACACTAGCTTCCCATGCTCCAGTCCCCTCCACCCTTGGCCCATAGCTCTACTGTCTGTCTCTGTGAATTTGACCAATCCAGGGATCTCCTCTGAGCGGAATGAGACAGCAGTTGTCTTTTTGTGGCTGGATCATCTAACTTTGCGTAATGCCTTCAAGGTTCCTCCATCTTGTAGCAAATGCCAGAATGTCCTTTTTTATGGCTGCACGATATTCTGTACGATATGTCTGTAGAGACCCCATTTGGTTCATCCATTCATCCATCAACGGACAGCCGGGTGACTTCCACCTTTTGGCTATTTTGATAATGGGTTATGAACATGGGTATAAAATACCTCCTTGAGCTTCCTGTTTTAATCCGTTTGGGTAGATAGCCAGAGGTAAAATTGCTGGATTATATAGTAAATCTGTATTTAATTTTTGAGAGGCCCTCATACTGACCTCCATGGCAGCTGTACCATTTTATACCCCCAGCAGCACCGCAGAAGGGTTCCAGCTGACCACTGACTGTAACCAGCCCATCTTGTCCATTTATTTGATGAGAATCGTCTGTACTTGCCACAAAGTTTTGGCAAGAGGCAAGAGAGCCTATTTGAAAATTTTATTTAAATATAAAGTTCTTTTCTGATATATTCAGGATCAAGGGATCAGGACAGCTTTCTGATAAACTTACCGTTTGTGTGGCTTAAGCACCCAAAGCTTTTTAGAATAAGAATCTCTTGAAATTATGGATAGGATTTCATTACTTGAATAACCAGCTTCACTACATTACCAAGGGTAGCTCACTTCCATAGATTAAATTCTTTATCATGATGCTAAAGAGTTCTCAGAGAATGCTTTTTTTCTATTCCTCTGTGTTATCGAGAGTTATAAAAGAGACTTAGCAAAAAAAAAAAAAAAAATTTCCAGTAATGTCCAATGCTGGAAAATGAACCCCCCTTTGGGGCTCCATTTTAGATTACTTTTGGGAGGAGACTTAAAAATATGTTCATTTGTACAGTTTTTCGCCACCCCTCCCCTCAAGTTTTATGTACTGTAGGTGTGTGAGGTAAGCGGGCGTCCACACAGAGGTAAGGCTCCAGCCCCACATCCTTGGAGGAGTGAACCCAGGTCAACGACGTGTGGTCCATCTTCTCCGATGTTATCAGGAGTGTTAAAACTGCCTGTCATTAGCTTGTGGACGTGGCCTCATGGAGTCTCTGACCGCTTCCCACCAGTCTGCACAATGACCTTAAACTCAGTTTTCACGCAGAGACTCTGATTCTCAGTTGGTGTGACATCAGTGTAGGTGGGAGAATTTGGCCACCGGAGCACTGGTACCTGGATTTTCTTTTTCTTACTTATCATCCAGTAAGAAATTACTCTGTATTTACTCCGGCAGTTGACATAGACTCCAAAAAAGAACGAAGGCAAAGGGGCTGGATTTCCTAGAGCTGGATTCCCCACGGTGCCCCATGCTGGCCTAAGGGGGCACCATAGTGCTTGGAAGCGGAAAACTGAGTGAAGTGACCTTTATCACATCCCAAAAGAGTAGAAGCCCAACTTCCTAGACAGAGTCCTGATATTGCTCTGAGGCTTGCCCCCCATCTATATGGGGGCTCTGTGAACACACAGAAGAATCACCGTTATACGGTGAAGTCAGGGACTCAGGACTAGAAGTGAATCCCAGATTCTGGTGCGCCCTATGTTCATTTCCCTTCAGCTGTATTTATCTGCCGTGACAGAGTTTCTAAAACTCAGAGTAACACCAGAACATTGGTGATTAACACCCTTTGCTTTCCTGTTTCATTTACCAACTGCCCCCAAAGACCCAGCAGTAAGAGACTGTTCATAAAAAACAAAATAATGAACATTTATAAAAAGCCAGGTAATCTCCCCTAGATACACACCCGTACACACCTACACCTGCGGTGTGGCCCTAATATATTGGTTAGAGAGATAATATTTGAAAACCACAAAGCTTATCATCCCGATGGCTTTGGTCAACAAAGGGAGCCCACAAGCCACTATTTGCAAATGTTATCGACAGTTTGCATTTCTTTCCACGTCTGGCACCTCGAGACCTGTGAGCTGAGGGAGGAAATAGATGTAGCAGTTGCTACGTATGAAGTCCTGACATAGACCTTGGGAATAAACCCTATTTGTCTGATGGTGTGTAGCTCACACGAAATGTTACTGCTGTGTCGGTCCACGGTGGCCTTTCCGGGTTAGAAGGATGACCCTCACACAGATCCTGTCTTGAACTTCAGACCTCCAAAATCCCCGACCCCCAGGCTTTTCATTGTCTGCTCCCCTTCAAGGCCCTTCCTCTTCATTTCCCTCAGAGGCAAAGCGTCAGATCAGATCCTGCCCCGACTTGAAGAGAAGGAGAGTAGAGCCCTCATCACTTGATGAGAACCTATAATGACTATAATAACTCAAAACCAAAGTGGAGCCCTCATTATAATACCTTCGTAGAAGGAGAATGTTTCTGCCTTGTCATTCCAGCTGCCCCAGAGAGAGAGAGAGATGGTGTTTCCTCCGTTCTTGGTATCCACCTAGCTTTCCTGCCAGGAAAACTAGCGAGCACCCTGGGCTCCGTTATCATCCATACTAAATAAATACTGTGCGGTCACTGATCCCACTTAAAAATCTAATGAGGACCTAGTCATCAGGCCAAGTTACAGTCATTTGGCCAATGCAAAGTTTGTCATGTGCTCCGAAGGTTCTGAAGGGGGAGGGAAGGTAGAGAGTCTATTTCCGGAATGCCCAGTAAATCATAACGACCATAAGTCATCCAATCCCAATGGCGTCTCTCATGCCAAATTCTTTTCTTTCCGGCAGGCATGGACCCATGCTGGCATTCTCCTAAAACACAAATACAGTTTCCTGGTGGGATGTGCGTCCATCTCCGATGTCATAGCTCAGGTAAGTATGGTCTGTGTGTCCATCAGAGCTCCTCGGAGCCCACGCCTGCTTCATTGACATGCATTCCCTCTGCAGGGCCTCCCTGCTTTACTCAAACCAAAGGTGGATGTCCGTGAAGGTGTGTTGAACAAGTGAGACAATGAGACCTCTTGCAGTAGAAGTATGTCTAATCCTGCAGGAAGGAGGGTGGTAGGAATTGAAATTCAGCATCAGAGGTTTAGGCCTTTAGGCTGACCCTCAGGTCCCAGCGCGCACGTGTTTGGTGGTCAGAGGGTCGCGGTGTGCTTGGCTGGGTGCACACTTGGCCCTCTCTGGGGCCTGACAATACATGGTCTGTCCCTCGGCTCTAGAGGGAGCGCGGAGGAACTCTTCTTCCCTGTTGTTTCTCGTGTAGATGCCACACAGGGCTCCCATTCACAGGTCATTAGCCCACATTTAACAAGAGCCAGGAAGTCGGACACGGTCTGAGAAGGCCTACATTGCCCTTTCTGTGGAGTCCAGCTCTGGCACCAGCCCTGGTTTTCCACGTTCCCTCCTTTCTTCTGCCACCAGGATACTGCATGAAAAATTTCAGCAGAAAATTAAATTCCTATAATGTATAAATTACAATCAGAGGTTTGAGAGAACCATTTCTTCACAGAGGAGGAGGGATGGACTGATTTTTAATCTCCTTTTCCAATTCTCAGTTCCATTCTGTGAGCATTTCCATGCATTTCTGCCTCGTTTCCCCCATCGTACAAGCTAGTCTGTTAGCCACCTTTTTGAAATAATCTACTGCCAAACTGTTAGTACCTCTCTAAAGACCAACAATTACATTTCCAAATTAATTGCATTTACTCCATGGATCACTATTAAAAGTAATTTAAATTAATTCCTGCTAACACCGTGTGTGTATGTGTGTGTGTGTGTGTGTGTTTGTGTGCTCTCTCCCTCTCTCTCAAATAAATGTATCAAATCTTTAAAAAAAAATTTTACTAAGCTAATTGATCTCTCACCATAGTACAAGAAAGCTCTCTTGGTTTGGTTCATCCATGCAGTAATGCTTTTCTGTGCCACCATTCCTGTCAATAGTGCTATGTTCTAAGGGCGCCTGGGTGGCTCTGTCCGTTAAGCATCTGCCTTCAGCTCAGGTCATGATCCCAGGGTCCTGGCATTGAGTCCCATATCGAGCTCTCTGCTCAGCGGGGAGCCTGCTTCTCCCTCTCTCTCTGCTGCCCCCCCTGCTTGTGCTCGCTCTCTCACTCTGTCAAATAAAATCACACACACACACACAAAAAAATAGCACTACATTCTAATATGTTGCCAAAGAATTTATGAAAAATATTGCTGTTTCTGTTGTAATTCACAATCAGCTGGTCAGTATTTGCTCAACATCAACATGAGCATTCTCAGGACGTTGTTGGACCTTACTGGGACCTCCTGTCCTAGCCCTTGCCTCCTGAACTCAGCTGAGGGCGCCGGGACGGGAGGCCAGCATCCCAGGTCAGCAATGTTGCTGTACTACCGTCAGTCCCTGTCTTTTCATCTCAGCCTCCTGCCAAGATCCCACTCTTGAACCCCCTACGATGCACTTTTCACCACCTGCGCCCAGGTAGCTCGTGCTCCTGCAGCAAGTCACACGGCAGCACACACTGATGGAACCATGTATCTCCGCTCATCACTTTCCGCCGCTGAGACTCCAGTAGCTACAGCAGACTGGCCCTCCCCTCCTCGCTCTTCCCAGTAGACCAGTTCCCTTCCCGCTTCCGTGAGAAAGTTGAAGCAACCGAATTCTCCCACTTCTGGCCACCAGACCTACAAGCCTGCCTTCAAACCCTGCGTCATCTGCGTTTCTCCCCATTCTGGGAGACAGGGTGCCCTTTCACTGTGGTCCAGAACCGCTTCTTCCACCTGTGCCTTGGATCCTGCGCTTTCTCCAGAACCGGATTCAGCCGGCTCTCCCTCATCTGTTCTCTCTCCCCTGGGTCCTTTCACTTGATGTGTAAACATGCTCACCTGTCTGCTGTTTTAACACAACGACAACAAGAACCTTTCTCTGGCTCCCATGAGCCTCTTGAGCTACAATTCTCTCCGTTACTTCACAGCCAGACTTTTTGGAAGGGGGGGTTTTCACTCACTGTCTCCATTTCTTTTTTACTTCTATTCTTTTACTGCCTTCAAGTCTGCTTCCCCCCCCATCAGTTCACCCAGATAGTTCTTGCTAATGACCTTTGTGTCACTTAAGCCACTGGAGGGTTCCCGTCAACTCATTGGCCATCTTTTCACTGTATTCGCTGCTCCCTGCTGCATGAAACACTCCCTCCCTCTGGTACACAGCACCGCAGTCTTGGTCTGTCTCCTCCTTCTGAAGGCACACCTCCTCTACGGAGGTGAAAATGTGGACGTCCTCCAGATCCTTCTCTCTCCTCACTGTGTTCTGTTGGAGAAGAATCTAAGTCACGCCCTAGATCTATACCATCTCTAACAGGACCGATGATTCCCAAATATCCATAGCCAGGCCCTCTCCTCTGAGCTCCAGACAGCATATCTAGATGCCTCTTGATGGCTCCACTCGGATCCTTCATCGCCACCCTAAGCTCGAGTTCACACCTCTATCAAGCATTTTGGTTTTGAGCAAATCAGTAGCACTGTCATCGGGTCAGAAGCCTGGGGACCATCCTAGGAGCATCCTCTTCATCACCAGGCCTTTTGGATTTTAATCCTAGATGTGTCTTTCATCTGCCCTCTTCCCATCTCTCCGCCATCACCCAGGTCCAAAGGATCACCCGTCCCACCTGGACCTCTAGAGAGGTCTCTTGACTTGCCTCTGCCTCTGCTCTGGCACTCCTTCCTTCCTTCCTTCCTTCCTTCCTTCCCACTGCAGACACAGTGATCTCTTCTCTTGGAAATTCTGGCCCCACTGCTCAGAAGCTGCTTTAAAAATTGCTTCCAGGGGTTCTTGAGATAAACAATCAAAATGATGGCGGACAACGTGCTGAAAACCCTTGGGCTCTGCTTCCTCTCCAGCCTGGAGCTCTTCTCTCGTCCCCTCGCTCCCTGCACCCCAGCCACGGGCACTCCATTCAGGGCCCTGGTGTGGCAGAGGCCCCTTCCACGGGGGCTCTTTGCTTCGGCCCCTCTGCTCAGGAGGAAATGCTCTGCCTCAGGTCCTCCTACCTGCCATGGACTCTTGCCACTCCTACCTACCTCCTGCGGAGGCTGCAGGTCTCAGCTCAGACGGCACGCAAGGGGATGCCCTCCCCCACAGCAGTAGGGCCAGCCGGCAAAGCCACGCTTCCTTCACCCTGTTGGTGGACGCTCGCCAGTGTCATGGTCTGATTCCCGGCTCTGCTCTTCCGCTGGACTGTCAGCTCCTGGGACGATCTCTTTATCACTGGACTCATGGGCACGGAGTACAGGGCCAGCACAGAGCAGGCTTTCCCCGGGAAAATCCTCATTAAGAGAGTAGGTTCCCGCTCAGAAAATAACCTGATGTTTTTGGTGGCGATATCAGATTCAACATCATAATTCTGGATTGAAATGCAGAAGGCCCTGTGTTATCTTAAATTGATGAACAGTACAACCACAGTGAAGATGTAAGCTCTGTGATGGGTGCTGGGCCCCACAGCATCGAGCTGGTAAATGTGAGGGAGGCTGTGTGAGAGCCACTGACCCAGGGCATCCCCCCCCTCGGTCCCACATAGCCCGCCCCGATGCCCAGGCCGTTTTCTTGTCATCACCGCACTTACTTCTCTTTTGCCTGTGTCCCCCTTTTCCTTCTTATCGACATCCTCCTCCGTGGTCCTGCCCAGCAGGCCTCCATCTCCAGTGGCCATCCTGATGGCCCCGGGAGCCTTCCTGGACTTGGCAGCAGAGGGCTCGGTCCTTGTATTCCTTTCTCGTACAACGAGTTTTCAGTCTCTACACACAGTCATCTTAGTTTACACTGTGGGTTTCTATCTGCCAAACGGTCAGCTTGCCTCACCCATTCGAGCGGGACTTTGCTCCTTAGATGCATCGGAGGCATTAGAGACGTCCCCGCGCGTCTGGGCCCCGTCACAGAACTCCCAGGCCTCTGTTCCTAACACAGTGTTAGCAAGGCTTCCCCAGCTGGTGTCCACATTTTCAGTGGACACTTTATACTTGTTCCACTTGGAAGGAACAGGCACAGAGCCAGTTACGGGCATCTTGACTTCCATCCGTGGGCTCCACTGCATCCTTGGGGAGTGGGAGCAGGAGTCTGAGCACCACCCAGCTTGTGTTGGCTCATATTGTCGGTGCGGCGGCAGCCAGGTTGTGTCCACGCGGCCAAGCTGTGCCTGAGGCTCCCGGTCCGAATCGGCCTCGTGTACTGGGTTTGAGAATGACAGCCGGCACACGATGCAGCCCATGCTGCAAACAAACCACCTCCAGCATCTGATACTTTCACTGCGCTCAGAAGTTTCTCTGTATTACGCTGTTGTTCTGTGTTCCCTCCAGTAACTGAATGCACTCATCCAGTTTCTCATGCTCAGTCTCCAGCTTCCTTTTTAACTTTTTGTCATCGCTGATTTCTTGGTACTGCAGTGATGGGGATAAGCCTCCTTGGGTCAGGATCACTCAGTGGTGGTGTATTTTGCATGCCTGTTGTTCCGTGGATATTTGGCCGTTAAAGTCACAGTAGCTCACGGATGCCTGGCCAGCTCAGACAGTAGAGCAAGGGGTTGATCTTGGGGTTGTAAGTTCAAGCCCCAGGTTAGGTGTGGAGATTGCTTAAAAAAAATTAAAAAAAATAAAGTCAGTGTAGCTCAGGAATAGTGTCCCCCTCCCCATTAGTTAATTTTCACACTGCGTATGCTCAGTGGTCTTCTGAATGTGGGAATCCCCGGACGGCTCTGGACATAGGCTGGGCTGCTTCTCTGATCTTTGTAGACAGGAAAGTTAAATACATTGTTAAATTTGTTTTAGAGATTATATAGTCAGTAGAGATCAATACTTTATTATTTTAATCCTTCCTGACTCTATTCTTTGACCTCCGCCACTTTTGTTAGTATTTTAAATTTTAATTTAGTTTGTTTTCTATTAATTAACATTGGTGCTTTTTGCAGCATTTTTAGTGAACTCCATCTTACAAATGTTAGAGTCTGTTTTTCTGTATACATCACTGATCACCACTACTGTTTCCTTGTGGACTTAGGTCCTCCAATGTGGATTACGTGTGCATGTTAGAATCCAGGCTCAAGAAGGCAAACCTCGACCACATCTTTTGGGGGTCCAGGGGACCAAAGTGTCTGGATATTTTTTAGCAATCACCTTAACCAGATGTACAGTTGCCTTAAAAGAGTCCTAGAGGGGCACCTGGGTGGCTCAGTCGGTTAAGCGTCTGCCTTCGGCTCAGGTCATGATCTCAGGGTCCTGGGATCGAGCCCCACATCGGGCTCCCTCCTCAGTGGGGAGCCTGCTTCTCCCCCTCCCCCTGCCGCTCCCCCTGCTTCTGCTCACGCTCTCTCTCAAATAAATAAACAAAATCTTTTTCAAAAAAATAAAAGAATCTTAGAGGTGAATGTAGCAAAGTGGTTGTGTGCTCTTCCCCTGAAGCCCAGACATCTGACCCTGAATTCTGTGAGGACAGCATGGAGCCCCAGCCCCGGTTTCTGTTCTCCTCATCAGTGTCGAGGTTTTCACTCGGAGGTCTGTCTCATCAGGGTGCGAGAGGTCGGCGAGCGCGTCCGTTGTCTGGTTCCGTCCTCCCCCCCGACTCATTCTTGTCTTCCCACCTTCCAGGTCGTGTTTGTCGCCATCTTACTGCACAGTCACCTGGAATGCAGAGAGCCTCTGCTCATCCCCATCCTGTCCTTGTACATGGGCGCCCTCGTGCGCTGCACCACCCTGTGCCTGGGCTACTACAAGAACATCCACGACATCATCCCCGACAGAAGCGGACCGGAGCTGGGGGTACGGCCTTCGAACACACCCACGGCCTGTCTGTGCATCTGAAGGCAGTGGGGTTCTACCCCAGCCCTCCGTGAAATGGGAAACCTGAATAATAAGCACATGCCGTAAGATGTTCAGTGCTAGGGCGTGTCCAGAGGCAGAGACCAGGTGGAAGTTTAATGGCCTCGGGAGACAGACGAGGTCTCAGAGGTCACTGTGCAGCCTCCTTATTTGCATATCAGGAGACTGAGTCATGGTGGGTCAGGTCAGGCTGAAGAGTAGATACGGCATTTTTGGTTCTTCGTACCCTATGTTGTGAAAAGCAAGTCATTCTATATATTAATCAACAAGTATTTGGGGCTCATGGTACCTTTAAACTCACATTTGGGTTATTCTTAAATTCACAGCGGGGCTCGAGGCTTTGTTTATACTTTCTATGCTGGCCAAACACAATCGCTCATTCGGGCATCTTCTGTGGAGTGAGCAGAGCCTGTAGGCACCAGGGGTGGGACAGAAGAGCTTAAAATCTGGTCTCTGCCCTCAAGCAGCTGTATTACACCTCACCCGGTAGATGAGAGCAACACAGAAGCAACACTTAGACGTGGACCCCAGACAGCGCGCAGATCTGCCATGGGAATACAAGAGCCTCGAAGCTTGGAGAGGGAAGACAGTGATGAGGTCTGAGAAGCTGCCCCCACTCCTGGAAGGCGGCGGAGTTTGGCCTGCGCCTCCAAAGTGGAGTCAGATACTAGCAGGGTATAATCCTCCCCGAGCAGCCCAAATACTTTTTTCATCACAAGTGCAAACAGTATCTGACTTACGTATATGCTCATCTACCCCACCCTTCGGTACCAGACATCCCTGGGCTTGGTTTCCATCGAGCTGTGAGGCCCATACACACGATTCCGCGTAGCCCCGAATACGTCCCCACAATCCACCCTCTGATCCCGCCCTTGAGCACAGGTTACTCTTGGCATGTCAGAATAGTAACTGTATTGACCGTTTACCTCGATCCGAGGGCAGGCCGTCAGTAAAATCTGATCTAGTTTCTTCCGTCACTAGGACAACCACATCAAATTGGTCTTGATGGTAACAATCCATCTCTGAACATTGAGCCGCCAACCAGGGGAAACAAAAGTGGCTGGCATGGTTCCACGATGTAACTCTTAACCTCTGAAGAATCAAAACCAAAGTTAAATCATAAAAGCCAGGCTTGAAAGATTGCACACCTCTTTGCTTTGTAGAATTCTTAATAAATCACATTTTCTTAACCGTGCTTTTATTTTTATGCTTCTGAACGTTGACCTGACTTCTGTCAAAGCTTTGAGACTAAGAACCTTGGTAGTAGATTTATACCCAAATAATTAGGCACATTTGTGACCTGACTGGTTACAAAAATAAATTATAATTTTTTTTTCTTTTTTTTTTACTTCTGAAAGTTAACCTCTTACTGACATGGCTTCTAGCCAGTCAGTTTGGTGATTTAAACAAAAACCAATTTCCAGCCTGTTTCCCAGGCCATGGAATTGGGTTCTGCCTGGCTTAGAGCTGCCCTGCTTGGAAAACAGTGATTTGGATCCATCAAACTTAAATGTGTGTTTTGATTTCGCGGTAACTTGCCAACTGTCTGAGTTAATTTCTAATAACACTGTACAGTTTATTTTAATTCAAATTGGCTTGGCTACAGAGGCTTTTCCTTATATTATTTTTAAGTACAATGAATTGACTCATTATGGACATCAAAAGGGAAAGCTTTGGCTCTGAACTGTTTTTTCTGTTCTGCTTCTAAAACTTAGTAACTTTTTATTTCCATTTCTTGACGCAGGGAGATGCAACCATAAGAAAGATGCTGAGCTTCTGGTGGCCTCTGGCCCTCATCTTGGCTACACAGAGAATCAGTAGGCCTATTGTCAACCTCTTTGTTTCCCGGGACCTTGGTGGCAGTTCTGCAGCTACTGAGGTAGGGCAGTTTCTGGGGATGGGAGCACTTGTGGTCACTTTGTGAAGAATAGAGGGGGGCGGGGGCAGGGAAGTGGATACAGACTTGTTTGCGATTCATCCGGAGAGCTCAGGTAATTCTGTGGTATCAAATTATGGGACCCGTTCACACTCAGAAGCCATGAGGATCTTAGAATCACATAACTGTTTACTTTTATGAGTACAGAAGAAAACATCTCCTTCGTTCTTCTCGTTGACCAGATCTGAGGCAAGGACACAAGGTTAAGGGCACAAAACTAGCAAGAAGGCGGGCTGGTAGTAGAATCCAGATTTGTCTGACTCCCACCCAGTGGCCTTTCAGTTTTCCTGTGGAGTTAGCATGATGCCTTACTGTGGTGACAGAACCCCACAGACTCTGCCATGCAGCTGCAGACGTGACCAGGCCCAGGCCATGAGGCCCGGTGCCCCCATTCTGACCCAGCCCACTCTCACCTGTTCCTGCCCTGCCTTCCTGCACGTACGCGCCCCCCACCCGGGCCATCCTGGCTCTGTGTGCTCCTTGGCAATCTGCCCTCCCCCCAAATGAGGATCTCCATTATTTACTCACTCACAACTCGAGACATTTATCTGGAAACTGGCAGCTACTCCAAAGAGTTGAATCATTTTTTCCATCTTTCAAGTATGGTATGAACAAATAGAATTACTTCATTTGTCTCCTCCTCTGCTGCCCTCTGGAGAATTGATTCTGTCTCTGGAACGGCTGATCCTTCAGGAAGGCTCGTGGCCACTCATTAGGGCCTTCTCTTTCCACGTCGCCCTTGAATGCGGTGTCAGCGTGTCTCCAGCCTGGGATCTCCTGCCAGTTTCCATGTCCTGGGAAGCAGCTCATGTAGGCTTGGAAAGAGAAGCACATAAATCACAAGCAGGATGCTTTCTCCTGCCTCAGTTTGTTCCTGGATTTTGTGTTTTGGATCCCGAAGGTCATCTTAGGTGGCTCTTGTAACCCAACAGCTTTCTTAGTTAATGATATCAGTTTCAGTTGCTCAGGAAAAAAGTATGTGACCCCCATCACTTGTGTGCTGGAATTCCATCTTCCCGTTAAAAAAAAAAAAAAAGAACAAAAACGAGGTAAATGATAACAGCAGAGTCATTTCTAAAATGACCTCAGTGGCGTAGAGGCTCAGCACGGAGGGTGCAGGACAGATATGTATTGAGCATCTACTCCGTGTCTGCCATTTATGCAAATTTCATGGACTCCCAGCAAACCTGTGTGATGGATCTCATTAATCCCAGAGTTCTGCTGGAGGAACAGAAAGGGAGGTCTGAGAGGGTCCCTGCTTCACCCAGCTGGAAGACGACCAAGGGGAGGTTTGCCTTGGGCCCACACAGCCGGGTCCTTGCCAGCTGGGGACTTACCTCATGTTCCAGGCATCAGTGTTATGTTAATTAAAATAGATGAAGCCTATACTTCTCCTTTCCTAGCTAGTTAGAGTTGAACTCTGCCAAAATGTGGGGTTTGATGCTTTGTTTTCATACTCCTTCCTTTTCATTCACATAAAAAGAGAAACTCTCAATCTCATGGAAGAACAGGTTTGGTTTCCGTAAGAAATATTTATTTAGTTTCTTAAGTTAAAAATGAAAATTGGGCTATTCTGGCTGGACAGATTGAAAGTGGGTTGAATCAGAAAGAGAGCACCAGAAAGCCACCAACCAGCGCATACCACCAGCCACCCAGAAGGACAGGGAGGAGGCGTAGATGTGGACCCTGCCCAAAGACTATCTGGAGAGCAGAAAGGGCTCAAAGTCACATTTCGTGCCGCCAGAATTGGGCTAGACTGGAGGGCTCCATTTGGCTCGGTGGGAAGAGCAAAGAACCTTGGTCTGGTGGGCCTGGGTTCAAATCGTAGCTTGTCGAGCCAGCGCGCAGGCTCACGCATCCCACTCCCATCCGTGGTGACAGTGGAGCACCTGCCCCTCCCCGCTCCCCCAGGCCTTCCTGCGGCAGCTGGTGCTTGTCACCCAGTGGGGAGCGATCCATCTGCGGTAGCCGCCCCGGAGACAGCTCCCTCTGCCCCGTGGCAAGAGCAGCTACCGGAGATGCTCTCTGGGACGCCAACACGAACTCTGCTGCTTCTTTCTCTTGTAGGCGGTGGCAATCTTGACAGCCACATACCCTGTGGGTCACATGCCATATGGCTGGCTGACGGAAATCCGTGCTGTCTACCCGGCTTTTGACAAGGTGAGAACCTGGATGGTGCGGTGTCTGAAATGCTCTCTTTAAAATTAGCCTTTGATAGGGACGCCTGGGTGGCTCAGTCGGTTAAAATTAGCCTTTGATAGACAGGCGTCTCCGACGAGGAACGCTCTGATACTCCCCGGTCTCACCTCCCTCTGTAAGGTGAACGTGGTGTGTGTGTGGCGGGGGGCAAACGTAATTGTGGAATATTTCCCTCAGAAAATAACAGAGGTAACGAAGCTTACCTTGATGCCAATTCTCTAATGCCCTCCAAACTCTATTCACTTTTAGGTTATCCTATTGAGAAATTATTAAATTTTTTGCAAAGGGGAAAATGTACTCTCAAAAAAGTTTATTACATTGAATTTTGTTTCCGTGGTTTTTTTTTTTTTTAATTAAATAAATGGTTTGCTGACCTCATAGCAGATATGAAGGTACAGACAGGATTGTGCACTTGAGCTCCTAAGCTTCTGGATGGATCTCTTTCGGTATATTCAGTGTCCATGCACCCCGAAGCTGTCCATGCAGCCGGCCTGGGTCCAGGTTGCTTTGGATGCGGTGTACTTATTCCAGCTGAAAGCCTCTGTTAACAGTAGCTCTGTCCTCCCACAGCTGCTGGAACAGCCTAGGCAGGCACACACCCTTCAGACTGGTAGCCTGTGCCTGGGTTGGGACTGTCCTTCCAGTCACTGAATTAATGTCTATTTCATTAAAGCTTAATGACTTGAACCTGTAAACATTTATAGCAAAACATAACCCCCAAAGATAGTATACAGTTTTTTTAAGAATTATTTATTTATTTGAGTGAGAGAGAGAGAGCAAGCAGGGGGCAGGGGCTGAGGGAGAGGGAGAGAGAAGCTCAAGCAGACTCCACATTGAGCCCCGAGCCCGACAGCGGGGCTCGAATTCACAAGCCTGAGATCATGACCTGAGCCGAAACCAAGAGTGAGATGCTTAACCAACTGTGCCACCCAGGCGCCCCTGTACAATGTTTTAAAATTAAAAGTAGGGGGGCGCCTGGGTGGCTCAGTCAGTTAAATGTCTGCCTTTTTTGGCTCAGGTCGTGATATCAGGGTCCTGGGATCGAGTCCTGCGTTGAGCTCCCTGCTCAGAGGGGAGCCTGCTTCTCCCTCTCCCTCTGCCCCTCCCTGCTGCTTGTGCTCTCTCTCAAATAAATAAATAAAATTTTTTAAAAAATAAAATAAAATGAAATGAAAAATAAGAAAGAAGCACACAACCTGCCCTTGGACCTTTAACAGCAGCTCCTTTGCCTTGAATTTCTATAGAACCAGCTCGGAGCCATTGCTGATACCATTTTATCTGATCCCAACAAGAGCCCTGGGATGTGAGGAGAGGAGAACTCTCTGCTAGGGGCCCCAGCAGATGAGCTCTGGCAGCTCGGACAGAGTGGGTTCTGGCTGGCTAAGGCTGGCCTGCCTCCTCTCCCCCCACTGCCAGACTCGCGTCAGCAGAGGAAACCCTGGGAAGGCACACAAAGCAAGGCCCAGCCGCAGGCTGTAAGCTTAGCTCTCTCTTTCACATGGCCTCCAGCTTCTCAAATGTGTAGTTGTTTGTGGGCTTCTGGAAGGGGGCACGACCTGCGGAGTGGAGCCCCAGAAAGGTTTCCTCTCCACCTCGCGCTCTGACCCAGGGCACTCCCCAGGCATCTCTGACAGGGATGAGGGGGTGCAGACTCAAGTCTGGAAAGATAGCCTCCACTATGGGTCCACCTCCTTCTCTGTGGTCCACCAGCAAACTTGTGCATGCATGCACACGCGCACACACACCTCTGCTCACACATCCCCATCCGTGATGTCCTTCCACCCTGCACAGCCCCCACGCTGTTCTTCCTGTCACTGTCACCTGCCTCTTGTCCCATCCCATACTCACCTGTGAAGGGCAGCTCACTTTTCAGGGATTCCCGCCATGCTGCCCAGCATGCCATAGGGCCATGGTGTTGCCCAGAGCTCTTTACTGGTTGTGGAACTTCCCCCAATTGACTATTAGTTGGGCCCACTACCTATTTCAAACATCAGCATCTTGCAACATCAGGATGCAGAGCATCCCCTAAAAAATGCTCAGGATGTTGAGAGCAAACTTTGAGAAGGCATGAGTGGCTTGCAGGAGATTTTTCTCCGTGCAGTCCCTGTTTGCATGAGTTTAATCCAATCTATTGACAGACATCGCTATTTTCCTTTTAAGGAACAGGCGTATAGAAGTAAATCCTAGAGGGGCACCTGGGTGACTCAGTCGTTAAGTGTCTGCCTTCGGCTCAGGTCATGATCCCAGGGTCCTGAGATCGAGCCCCGCATCGGGCTCTCTGCTCGGCAGGGAGTCTGCTTCTCCCTCTCCCACTCCCCCTGCTTGTGTTCCTGCTCTCGCTATCTCTCTCTCTGTCAGATAAATAAAATAGAGTCTTTAAAAAAAAAAAAAAAAGAAGTAAATCCTAGAAAACCAAGATGGATGTAAGTCTTCTTGCTAAATTTCTAGCTCTTGGAGAATCAGATTATATAATAAAACTTGAGGAGAACAGCAGGTACTAAAGTATTAGAACCTCCTGGCTGGGAAAGTCTCATCTGGAATTTTTTTGGCTACCTTGAAATAATACAGCTTAACAATACAACACTATACAGTTTCACTAGGAGCGTCCAAGGAAAACTTGGTTTTGTTCGTGATCACAGATGTTAGGTGCTGTGAAAAAATCCCTTTAACGAGCGTACCTCTCGCCAGCAACTGGAGTTACTCAGAATCCTTTTGGAGCCTCCCTCATTGTTTCCAGGCATTCCAGAGAGCTCCTCCAAGCCGTCCGTGTGAATGCCGTCTATTCACCCAAATCTGAGACACCTCTGTGTGGACTTGCAGAATTTGCTGCATTGACAGTTGAAATCCTTAGCCTCTTTGTGCGTTCCAGAATAAGAGATTTAACATTTCTTGCATAACTTCTGATGGCTCTCACTAAATATCAACGGGGAGCGTTTTCCACTCGTACAAAATCTCTCCGACGTTCAGTTACCATCTGAGAAAGAGTCTTGTTTCTAAACGGATTGGGCAAACAAAGCAAAACACAGATGCCAATCTAATGATACGTGCTAGTTTATTCCAAGCCTGCTGGCAGAAATATGTGCTCTTTTCAAAATGAAAACACACCTGAAGGCTCTCTGGCGCCCTGCTGTCCCACCGGGGGTGACATGAGTGCTTTGAGTTTGCCTGATTCTTCGGGGTGAGCCCCCCCCCGGGCGCCTCTCTTGAAGATCCCCCGGGGTAGGAGAGATGGAGAGATCCTCCCACTGTGACTTGCACTTCGCTGTGGCAGCAAAATCTGTTATTCAGAAAAGCAGATCTACTTTAGAGGCTGGAATTAGGAAAACATAGGCTCAACCAGACGTTTGTGCTGGTGGTTTCACGGGGAAGGGATTTGAGAGATCGCCGCAGCCCCCAAAGTAAAGGAACCATCAAAAGCTCTTTTCCAAGTGGAACCTGTCATCGCTCTGCCCGTGTGTCCTTCATTCAGCTAGACACGAGCCAGGTGCTCGGGGACTGATTTGGATCAGTCTGGGACCGATTGGATCCGTATGGAGGCAAGGGGTTCTTTTCTCCACTGGTTTTCATAGTGAGGGGACAGGTGATGGGCATACTTAGCGGTGGCGCTGGGATGGTCTCAGGAAGCCTCGGGAATATGTAAGAGGACATTTGAGCTCTCTGCTCTCTTGGCTTAAAATTAAGTGTAACAGAGATGGGCACCTTCTCTACTCAAGAAAGATCGTGCTACGTTGCAGGAGTGAAAGAGTAGGGTGAGGTGCACAGCCCTGTATCTCAGAGAGCCAGTGCACCCCTCACACGCTTCCATGCGTGCCCCCCTGAATACATCCGCACCTCCAGAGAGCTCTGGGGTCGCCCGGCATTCCAGGAAGCGGGGCCCCAGGGCAATTTGGAGTAAAAGATCAGAGCGGCTTTAAGAAACAGATGGGCTGTGCCAGTAACATGCCCTCAAGACGGGGGTTTTGAAAATCAGAAGACCCAACGGGACAAGGAGGGACAAAAGCACAGTAACGGGAAAACACCGAGTACGTTAGGGGAAAAGCAAGAGCTTCCGTCTGGAATGTGAGGGGAGGAGGGTGCGGCAGGGTCAGCAGGGCCGAGAATGCCCACTCGCGCTCCCGGTCCGCTGGTGGGTAGGACAGGGCCCCGAAAGGGGGCAGGGCTGTGGCTTCGCGGAGCTGCCAAGTGACCAGGAGGGGCCACACTAGGACGAGGCTGGGTGGGGGCCCAGCGCCAAGGGGAGCACACATTCAGGAAGCCCTGCCCGGTGTTCCAGCCACCACTCCCTCTGGTTCGTGTTCACGTCCAGCAACCTGACAGCCGTCCTCCCAGCTGTCAGGTGACATTTGTACCTCCGACACATCAAATAAAGCCGAAGCAAGACGCTCCTCAAGTGGCACGTGTGGCCAGCCAAGGATAACCACTGTCCTCCTCTTTCCTGCTAGAATAACCCCAGCAATAAACTGGTGAGCACAAGCAACACAGTGACCGCAGCCCACATCAAGAAGTTCACGTTTGTCTGCATGGCCCTGTCGCTCACGGTAAGGGGAGACCAACATCACCAGCCCCTCTGGTGGTGTTTTTGGAAAGGGGGGAAATGGCCGTTTTAAAGGGAGGAGGGCTGTATTCCATACCGTGAGGTTATACGGAATTAATTAACAACCCAAAATATGAACAGTAGTTCCTTAGGAAGGTCGTTGAATCTAGGAATAAATGGTAGACTTCCAGCATGTCCAGGAACTTCTAACACGCTAAAGGAAAGGCTGAGTTTGCCTTTCATTTTAATAATACTCTTGTCTCACTGAATAACTTCTGACCCCTTTTTAAACACCCAAAGTCAAGGATATAAACATCCCTCTCCCAAACTGAGGTGGGCGTTACTTCAGTTAAACCCCAGTGCAAGTTCCCTTCCCCATCACACGTGCCCTGCTGCCGTGTCCTGTCTGCTTACCCGTCATTCGCTGCGTGCTTATCAAGCACCTACCGGATCCCAGGCCCTGCGCCATCCTCACGGGTACAGCTGTGGACCCCTGCGGATAGCACCCCGCTCTGTGCATGGCCTAAATAAACAGCACACGTCCTCCCTCTGTCAACCCCCATGGGTAATTTCAGTGTAGAAGATACTGTTCAAAAAACATGGAAAAAATACGTACATGGTGTATAACCCAAAGCACATGGTATATAACTTAAGACGGTTTATAGTAGCAAAAACAGAAAAGCACATTTATAAACAAACTTACATTGTGGACTATGCCCTTTGAGTTCTGAAGATGGGGATGACAAGGAGGTAAAAAGAAATGCAGGTCTTTTTTTTTTTTTTTAAGATTTTATTTATTTAGAGCGTGCTCGAGGGTCGGGGGGTGGGGGGGCAGAGAGAGAAAATACCAGACTCCGGCTGAGCGTGGCATCTGATGACGTAGGGCTCGATCTCACGACTCTGAGATCATGACCTGAGCTGAAATCAAGAGTCAGGCTGCCCAATCAACTGAGCGACCCAGGGGCCCCGAAATGCAGGTCTTTTGAACTCAGTTCAGTCTTCTTGTTTGTTGTTGGGCTCCGTAGTTCCTCTTAAGTCCTGCAGAAATTCTCCGTTTATAAAGTACAAGTATGTTCCGGAAATCCCAGCGGTGCTCTGCTCTCGTCATCGATGACCAGGGCTGAAGGGCTGGTTACACTGATGACAGGCACACGGTGATTCTAGCCCCTCTTCCCATCATCACAAGAACAATTCATTGGCTTGATGAGCCCTGATAGTGGTCCTTATAATGGAGCCCTAAGCACGTTTTAAACCTTTGATGGATATTTTTCCAAAGCCCACAGCTTAATCTTTGCTCCGCGGATCCCACACCTGACTAGATTGTTAACAAGGGCAACACGAGACTAATAGCCTGTCACGTCGCGCATCGTGACCTTGTGTCCTCAGCGGCCCCTTCACCCCAGCCTGCCCCTCCTGCTAGTCCATCCCTCCTGACTCTGGGGGAGGGGGCGCGGGGAGGGGTGTCAGGAGCATCTTCCAGTGTCACCTCACCGAGGAGGAATTTCCAATAGCACGCCTGTGTAGTTGGGACACGTTACCCCAGGCAACCCTGCTCCCCTATTTGTGTTATTCCTCTGTGGTGTGCAAGTTTTTCCATAGTTCCCTAAAATATTAGGAAAACAGTCAGCAACCTTGAAACTGTTTAAAAGAGTATTTTAGAAAAAGCTGAGAAGGTTTCTATTCCAGGAACAGACCTCAGCTTTTGGAGATGATAGGAAATGATTGGAAGTCAAAAGTTGAGTTGACTCAGATTCCAGGTTCTGTGACTTGGACCTCATACCTCACTGGATGCCAGAAGCTTTTGGTTGTCACTGGCTCTGTGATCCGGGTCTGACCTCCTCTGTCTCCTCTCACTCCAGTTAAACGTCTTCCCCCGGCTACCGTTGAGTCGGATGGAGAACTTCGCCAGCCTGGGTTTAAGGCTGTTCCTTCTCTCGTTCGGTGTGCGGGCAATAACCTGTCCCTCTGAGACCAGAAACTGGCTTACTTTGAAATGGGGATGATTTAGAAAAATGCTTAGATTTCCCATGTAAAAGTTTTGTTTATTTCATTATTCTAATCCCGTCCTCCTTCCTGTAACTGAAGTATGTCAGGGTAGATTTTCCCCATAGAAATGGAGACTCAGAGTCCTTCGTTGGGAAGAAACTTGGAGACGAGTGAGTCAAAACCCTTTATTTCTTAGAAAGGGAAAAGACTCAGAGAGGATCAGTGACTCGCCCGGGCACCTGTCATAGAACCTGCCAGAAGCCAGCCTTCCAGGCCCACTCTCTAGGCCCTTTTGTCCAAACTGTGAAGCTTCCAGAGCGAGTAGGAACAGCTGTCTGGCCCTGAGCCTCCAGACGTGGGCACCATGCTTTGAAGCGGCAGTTTCTTTAACACTAAAAACAGTAGTATTTGAGTTTGCAGCTAATGAAGTGTCTCACATACGTTCTCCTTACAGTGATTCAGTTGGTCCAACATCTTGGCTATAGGAATTGTCCTTAAAAGATATAGGAAAAAAGTAAGCAACTTTATTTTTTTAAGATTTTTATTTATTTATTTGATAGGGAGAGAAAGAGAGACCACAAGCAGGCGAAGTAGCAGGCAGAGGGAGAGCAAGAAGCCGGCTCCCTGCTGAGCAAGGAGCCCGATGTGGGGCTCGATCCCAGGACCCTGGGATCATGACCTGAGCCAAAGGCTGTCGCTGAACCGACTGAGCCACCCAGATACCCCAATAAGCAACTTTTTTTTAAAGATTTTATTTATTTATTTGAGAGAAAGCATCGGAGAGAGCTCGGGCAGGGGGAGGGGGAGCAGCAGAGGGAGAGGGAGAAGCAGGCTCCCCGCTGAGCAGGGAGCCCGACTGGAGGCTCGAACCCAGGACCCCAGGATCATGACCTGAGCCGAAGGCAGACGCTTCACCGACCAGCCAGGAGCCCCTGTAAAGGACTTTTTTAAATTGGAGTATAATTGACACACAATGTTACATTAGTTTCAGGTGTAGGGTTTGTTTCTGGTTTTTCTTTCCTAAATTAAATGTTAAGCGGTCACTATGATGTGTACATTCCTTTTTGCAGCACTGTCTGTGTTCAGTCTTCACATCTGTTGCTCCTCCTCGTAGGCTCTGAAGTGCCCACGTCAGGGTGTGTGGGGCAGCCACCTTCTACCCCAGGGCCGAGCATCCTGTCTGACCCAGAAGGTGCACAATAAACCGCCACTTAAGACTAAACTCTGAGTCAGAAAGCCACCCCCGGTGAGCGACAGTCTCCTTTCTTATACTCAGCATATCCTACTTTTAACGCTTTTAAGAGGCTCTTTCCTCTCAGGTCCGTTTTTGTTTTTTTAACTTTAAAACTTAGCGTCAGGGAATTAATGTCGCAGAGGCCATTGAAACACTCAACAGCAGCACACGTTGTGTTTATTCGAGTGGATGATACTACATACAAACTCTGAGCTTTCTGATGGTTCTAGAACTTTCTGTGGGTCACCTAGAATTCAAGCGCTTTCCAGAGCTCCATCTCTTGGGGCACACCAGCTCTTCCCCTCGGGTCTTCGAGAAGAGCTGACCCCATTGATTCCACAGACACTCGGTGACCCAGGGATGCTGACTGCTTTTCAAAAGAAGGTGTGTACTGTCTAGAACAAAAAAAATCCATCTTTCCATCAGAATGGGCTCACTCTTCAGGCCCTGATATTCTGGGGTCAACATCCACCTGGGCCTGTGAAAAATACAGCTGTATCACTTTTGACAGTTAATAGTCAGGAAGCAGGAACAGCGTTCCTTCCCCTTGGGGAAAGGCACTGGTAATACTGACCTTGCAGAAACTCGGCCTCTTGTTAGCTAGCCCCTCTAGATTTACCATGATTCCTTCCCGGATTCTAGATTTGGGGGTAAAATAGGAACCACTAACCAGGGGAGGATGTGTCTTCTCAACAGTCCTTTTGATGAGGAAGAAGTGTCCCAAAACGATAATGGACCTCCGATCCCTGGGTGCTAGGCCAGGTTGGTGAAAGCCAGTGGATTGGCTTGCTAAAGTTACCAAACTGCCAATCTACCCCAAACGTTTGTTTTTTTTAAACTATTTCTACAGCCCATAGCAAATCAAATTAAATGGGGAAGTCTTAACATCGTTGGGTGATTTTAGTTGACCAGTTTCTATTCTGACTTCACAATAGCATTTGAAGAACATTTGGTATTTTCTTAAACTCCTTTCTGCTCTAGTTTTGGGGAGCTGGTGCCAAGAGGGCAGCCTCTCTGCTGCAAGAGAGCTGGAGAAAAATCCATGCAAAGCACAGGCTTGGCTGTGCTGAGGCCTCCCCAACCCCCTTTTGACAAAATGGAAATGGGCATCCGTCCAGATGGATCTCGGCAGGCAGAGCTAACAGGGTACTTTTGTGCAGTGAACAACCTACCAGTCATACCCAGCATCCCTTGAACCCAGGGAAGGACAGGAGGGGAAGATGGAGGAGTGCAAGTCAGAAGGAGAAGGGGGAGAGACTGTGGGTCAGAAAAAGAACGGAGAGTTTGAGAGTCAAGGCAAAATGGAACAGAGGCAAAGGTGGGGGGACACAGGCAGGTAGGGAAGCTATGAAGGCCCCAGAGACACCCGGAGCCCTCACAGCCCTCCGGGGCCCTGCCTGTCCTTCCAGTACAAATTACTGTAAGTTTTAGAAGAGTTAAAAAGACAAGTTTTTAAGAAATCAGTAAGTTGGACAGATTGTCAGTTGGCCAATTAGGCTCTTCCACCGGTTGATTTTTGGTGGGCTGGCCTATTTCAGGAAGGCAGTATGGAATGAGCGTCTCCCTAGGCTTCTCCAGAGTTGGCTTTGGGACCCAGATTCAGATCCTGCTGAGGTCATGGGACTGTCCCGGGGTCTCCAGAGTATATCCCACTGGCCTCCCTCATCTTCAACAAATGGAGGCTGCTTGGTGGTGGTTGCGGGGGGGGTGGGGTTGCCATCACTTAATGCAGGGAAAGAAGGTTGCCACCAGGTACCAGCAGACTGCACTGCCTCACCCAATAG